TAGAAGATGTTTAAACATGAGTTGTTATAGTTGTAATAGAATTTTAGGGTATTTTTTGAATAGAAATATTAGTGAAAAAGAAATACATTTAAAAAATACCTAAAATATATAAGAACTGCTTCGAACTTCAAGCCTTACTTAAACTTTTAATAAAATAAATACCACAATTAATCCTAAAAAAGCCTAAGAACTTCTAAAAAGCCTTGTAATAAACTTCCAAGCAAGCTTTTATTTTCTAAAAAATTATTATAATTATTATTCTATACCCCTTTCTCTCAGTGTATGTAAAGTTCAATGCTGAATGCCTGCTGGGGAAAAAGCTTGGTATAATTGGCATAAGTTTGCACTTAAGTCAGACTCAAAGGCAATACACACACACACACCCACACCCCCCAGTTACTGGCACCTTGAGGTTGTGCATACACAAGTCTACCACACCTCCCCACCCCCCACCCTCCTGCCACCTCTAGGCGACCTTTTAATTTCCACACCCACTTCTACACCCGTCACCTTGGGTTCTCACACGGTAGATTTAACACACGACGGAGAGCGTTCAATAAATGTCAGCAATTAAAAAGGCGAAAAATAAATGTTACTGTATCGCCTGCCACCAGGACGATAAATATATACACATATACACATATATATATATACAGATTATTGGGCGTTAAGGGCGTGTTGGCCGACTTGGCAGGTGGGCGGCAAATGGCGCGGTAAACAGGTGTAATATTTAAATGCCAGGGCATCCATCGGCGCAAAATATTGAATGTCTGAATGAAGGATATTTTTCGGTTCTGGAGTGGATTTTAGGAATTGAAATACTTGAGGAAATTCTGTAGGGGCTGACTGGGTGGCTGTGTGGATGTTAAGACAACAGAAATCTAGCCTCAGGAATTTGGAATTAAATTTCAAAGTGAGGTGCTTGCGCGCCTAAAATCCAAATAATAAAATAATTGAGTGCCTGGCCAGAGATTCCATTGAAATACATTTGAGAAATCCACACAAGAGAGTCGTTGACTTTTCGCTTTTCATTTGAAAAATATTTAAATTTTTTTGAAGAAACAGTAGCAGAAATTCGGTAGAAGGATATTTTGTTTTTAAAGGGTACATTTTTATGAAAAAAAAAACCAAAAATATTGCTGGTTAAAAGAGCAACCTGAATGGCCAGTAAACATTTAGGAACTGCGCGAACTTTTTGACATGCTCATAAATCGCCAGGATACAGGATTCAGGATACAGGATCCAGGATGCAGGACCCGGGTACTTTAAGTAAATCTTTCCAACGGACAACGGCTGTGGGACACTCGCCGAGATTGATTCGTTGGTTGTCAGGACAGGATATGTATGGTCCTGGATACAGGATACTTTGTTTGATGCTCCAACCAATGCCCCCAAGCCACCAGCATCCCAAGCCCTCCCAGAACATGATTGATGATGACCTCCATCCTCCCCTCCAAAACTCGTTGCTTTTGGTTTTTGGACTTTATGTTTGACCGTGTGCAAATTGGTAGGATAATCGTAATGACGGCCTGTATCCTTCAGATCAAAATCCAAAATCCAAATCAGAGTCAGAATCAGAATAAGAGTCAGAGTCAGAGTCCGAATTTAAATTCAAATCACAATCTAAATCCAAATATCCAAATATCAGAAATACTGTCACATTTGGCTTGAGGTAAACCGAAAGTATTTCCATTTGAATTGATTTTGTTTTTGTTGTCCACACACACACACTCAAACACACACAAACAAACACACACACACACACACTCGCAAAATATCAATTTCAATTGTGCGGCCAAAGAGAAGAGATATGCAGATGCAGATGCTGATGCAATTACCAATTACTTTGCATGATTTGCCAGGACACTGAACGGAAACATAATGGGGTTTCAATCCATAAAAAATATATGGAATATATGTACATAATTACTAGTTACTAGTTTCTAGTTGCTCGTTAGTAGAAACTTGTATTCAGTCACTCGTTGTAGGCTACTCCTTTCTAGTTGATAGTTTTAAGCTATACGTTTCTAGTTATTCGTCTGTGGTAAAGTTTTTATCTGGTATGTCTGAGTATATGTATCTAGTTACCATTTTATGGAGATTAGTTAGTAATTTTATTAGTTTATACTTCCTGGTTACCAGTTATTAGTTTTTGGGTTCATAAGTTCTCGTTTCTAATAATAGTTTCTCGTTTCTAGTTACTAGTTTCTGGTTACTAGTTTTTGCTTATTAGTTTGTAGTTGGTTGTTTCTATTAACTAGTTTTTGGTTAGTTGTTTTTTTTAATTGGCTTTTAGTTACTAGTTACTATTTAATAGTCTCTGGTTAATAATTTCTGGGTTTAAGCTTCTAGTTACTAGTTTCTTGTTACAAGTTTCTAGAAATATGTCTCTAGTTACTGATCGTGAATCGTTTTAAGGTTAGATTTTGGTTATTCTTTACTAGTTTCTATATATTCGTTACTAGTTTCTAGTTGCTAGTTCATAGTTATTAGATTCTAGTCACCAGTTTTTAGTTTCTTCTTTCTGGTTACTAGTTAAGAAGTGCTGGCTTTTAATAATTAGTTTCTTGTTTATTTATAGTTACTAATATTTCTTACTAACTAGTTTCTAGTTATTATTTTCTGGTTATCTTTTACTCGCTACTGGTTACTCGCTACTAGTTCCTAGTCACTTCTAAACCCAATTATATCAAATCTATTCCTACTTCTCCCTGTGTACTTGAATACATTCCCAGATTTGTGTCTCACTTAACCAAGATATGGTATCAGCACTCAGAACAAGATTGAACGGCTGTCTATATACCGCACGTATATACTCCAACAGATACATATGTATAGTGAGATAAATGTTTGGATATATAGTGTGTGTAATTGTGGGTGTGTGTGGACAACAATTGAACATGTTCCAGTCGAGTGAAACGTGCTGCGATGTCTTCACCTAATTAGCATTGGGGACGGGTAGGCAAAAATGCAAGCAATAAGCAAAAACAGTAGAGGCCTGCCAACTAGAAGCGGGGTGTCCTTAATTGAAGTGCCATGGTATTTAGGATTAGGCCCATATTCTTGTTAACCTTCCACACCCCCATCTCCATCCTGAATATAGTCCTGAATCCTCAATCCTGGCACGTGCTTTCGCCAGGCGACAAGTTTTTGTGCCTGGGCGACACAATCTTTAATTTAAATGCCAGCCATCTTCACGTTTATCAGATTATTTTCAACAAAAACAGGACAGGAACAAGAATATACTATATATACACTTGATATATAAAGTATATATATTTATGTATGCATAAGTATTGGTGGGTGCCTCGGATGGGCTGGTATGATTAGCGCGGGGTAATGAGGACATTCCAACCTCTGGCCCGAAAGTTCTAAAGTTTTTGTGGCATGCTGTATACATTTTATGGCACTTGTAAAATTTTCATTCTCCATATTAGCTAGTAAACAATATTTTTTATGAAACTCGACTAATTTTGACTGAAGGCTAAATTTATAAAGCATAGTTCTTGTTGATGGGAGAGGGAATATTTACTGAAAGTTTTAGCTTTTTGTTGTTATTTTGGATAACAAATAAAATATTTCATAGTTTTTGTGGAATTTTTGGAATTATAAGCATTTTAGATTATTTTGTTTATTGTTGGTATGTGTTTTGATGAAAATAAAAGCAATTAGTTTGGGTATTTATGTTTTAGGGGATGAGTTTGTGTGTCCTTTTGTTTGCTGATTTGAAAAGGGTGGTAATAAGTAACTAGTTAGGTAGTTTAACATCGGTAACTAAAAGTTGAAAATAGTAAGCTGAAGCAGGAAGTAGTGTGGGAAATTAGTAACTAGAAAGTGGGGCTTAGAAACTAATAACTAGTAACTGGAAAACAGAAACTAATAACGAGTAATTATACATTGGAAATTAGAAACTAGATACTAACAAACTAGTAACTAGTAAATAGTAACTTAAGGTTAAGAGTTAAAAGAGTTGGAAATAGACTACATATCAGAAAGAAGAAACTAGTAACTATTAACTAGTAACTAATAAAGAGTAACTATTAGTTGAAAATAAGAAACTTGTAAACTAAGCTTAAACTTAAAGCAAGGCACTAAAAACTAATGTAATTGTTACTAATGTACTCAATATGTTAGTTACCAGTAACTAAATTAAGTATTTTATTTTAAAAGCTATCTTAACTAGTAACTAAAAAATAATAACGAGTAAGTATTGATTAGGAACTAGAAACTAGCAAATACATAGAAGCTAGAAATCAAAAAGAAAATCCTAGTAATTAGATGAAAATAACGAGTAACTAGGTAACTATAGTAGTATAGTTACTATTCGATCTATAGTAACTAACTTAGTAACTAAAAGAGATAAACAGAAGTAAAAACAGACACCAGAAAGAAGTGACTAGTAACTAGTAACTACTAACTGACAACGAGTTACTAGTAACTAGTAACTAGAAGCTAGAAACTAGAACCTCATTGCAGTAGTTACCATGTAGTAACTAAATGAACTTAATTCGACTAAAAAGCCATCTTAAGAATGGACTTTAGACCTTATAAATGATAACATTCTTCCTTTAAAAAAAATCTTTACCCCAAAAAAACCTCTTCAAGGACATCAGGACTCGCTCAAGACACCCACCTGAGTCCTTTCTTATTAAATATTTAAGTTCCCCGTTAGCCTTATTGCTAATGAAGTGTTTATGGTGTATATCTTGAATCGAATTTTTGGCGGAATATTACTTTTGGCCAAAGCCCGTAACCTGAAGCTGTTGACTCAATTACACGGCGTTTGCCATGCAATTTACGCTTTTCATTCCCTACCCCCCCTCTCTCTCTACTCACACCCACACATACGTGGGAAATTTTCATTTTCATTTTCATTTTGTGCTTTTGGTTTCATTTTTTCTTTTTTCGTTGTTATTTGTGTTGTTGTTGGTGTGTGGCAGGTTTTCATGAAAATATTTTGCATTTGCAGCATCCGGCGCGACTAAAATAAAGAAACAGCAACAACAACAGCAACAACAACAACAACAGCGACAGCAACAACACATCCGAGGCTCGTAAAGGGGAGCGACATTTTATGACGGTCACATAATAACAGCATAGCGCCCAAAAACTGTAAACGGTAAACGGTAAACGTTTCACACACACACACAGACACACACAGTCTCACCCGCAGGACCTACATACATATATACATATCCTGGCAAAAGGACGATGCAAATTACGTGGCATATGAAGCGTCAAAGCGTTTGATTCGATTGTCAAGCACCAGAGCTGTGCCATCGCCACCACATCCAGCATCCTTTCACGTCCTGTTTCTGGGGAATTCAATCTGCCACACCGCACACTGCCCCCGAAGCAGATTGATTGATTGATTGATTGATTGGTTGGCTGATTGATTGATTGATTGATCGACTGATTGACCAATAGAGTAAAGAAAACAATGAACAAGAAGTCGCCACTGCCGCTGGCGGCTTTTCTCAGCAACGACGGCAGCGGCGCCACCAACAATACTCCCGCCAGCGGCAGCAGCGGAGTTGCAACATCAGTAGCGGCAGCGGCGGCAGCACAAAACGGTGCCAACAGTCGCAGCGGACGTGGCGGCATGTCCTCCAGCTCTGGTGCCAGCGGCTCATCCAAGCAATCCTCCGAGAAGCAGCAGGCTGGCCGGGAGGGTGGCGAAGGTGGCAGCCTGTGTGGATGCCGCAAGGCACCCAAGTCGCACTGCATATCAGCCACAGGTAAGATAATCCTGGATGGTACAACAGGGCGTATGTGTGATATTATTACTCATACGCACTGTTGGTTCGAATACAAGACTTTCGATTATAATAATCCTCCCAAAAATAGGCGTTCTCCTGCTAGTCCTTCTCTACACCGCCATGGGTTCTATTGTTTTTGTGACCCTGGAGGGTGAACTGGAGGACGGTAGTGCTCTGGAAACGGCAGTGGCTGCCTCAAAGCCCTATCCCCGCACCGAACTGGCCAATGCCGAGATACGATCCAGGTAATTATCCTTAATCGAAGTTAAAAGATTTCCAAGAAAATGAATTCGATTTAAAACAGAACTGTGGATCGTTTGTGGTCGATAACGGAGGACCTGAATATACTCTATAAGGAGAACTGGACGCGACTGGCCGCCCAGGAAGTTCAACTTTTCCAGGTGAGGACACATCGCAGGATATCTTTTTTTGATGGCTAATTGAGCGTTTCCCTTTTATATGGTTTTTTGTTTTTCTTTTCTGATTTTTTTTTTTCAATTTTTCGCAGGACACTCTACTGCGGGCTGTGAGACAGTCGAAGGTTTATCCTCCTGGCGGCATACAGATGAATGCACCCACCCACAAATGGACCTACGCCTCTGCCTTTCTCTACTCCCTGACATTAATTACAACGATAGGTGAGTGTTTGGTGGGGTGGCTGGGGTGGGTAGGTGACAAAAATGGGTGGAGGGCAGGGCAGCCTATGGTGGAGAGGGTTGAGGACTTGACTGAGTGAGAAATTTGCTCGTCCTGGTCGTCCTGTTCTCGCAGTTGGTCGGTTCCTTTGTTCGATTCGATTCTCTGGGCAATTTATTAGCCTGGCCTGACGTTTGCCATCCGAGCCTGCCAAGTGCATGAACCCAGGGATACCAGGATACAAGTCTGTGTTCCATATGTGTATAAGTGTGTGTGTGGGTGTGTGCGTGGGTGCGTGAGACGTTGAGTGACCGCTCCACTGGCTTTTCCCAGTCAGGACCGGGGTTCTGGCTCCTCTTCTGGATTCCCCTTGAACCTGGTGCTGTTTTTAATTAACAAACTGTCAACTGACAGCATCGATTTCGCTTTCTCTCTCTCTTGCTCTCTCTTTCTAGCCCTCTCTCTCTCTCTCTGTCGCACACAAATACTTAAACCTTTTTCCATAATTTTTTCTGAACCCCTTTTTCGAACAACGCACTGTCTCTGATTTCAATTAGTTATAAGTAACCCGAGGGCTAAGCAGTCAACTGTCCTTCCAGTCAGCCGAAAAGGACTCTAGGCCCAGGCCCTCGTCCTTCCTCATCCCCCCCTTGTCTACGACCGGCGTGATTAAAATGCCAAACAGTCCTTGAAGCGGCATGTAAATTGAATTGTGGCTCAAAAAACTTGGCCCAAACGGAAGCCGGGGGGGCTCTGCAAAATATTAATTGCAAAAAATAATTCCAAATGGCAACAAAAACATAAATGTGTTTAGTAATTTGGGAGCTAAAAAAAGGGGGCGGAGGAGGAAGGGGAAAAGTTTCATTTTTAGTTATAGTTTGATGAAAAATGGTAACTTTTTTTTTAATAGAAAGTGGGGGGATATCTATTAGTTATGGAGATATTTTTAGGGGGGGGGCCTTGAAACTTTTGGGTGTGGGTTTGAATATGTAGGAGTTATAGACCTTGTTAGGTAATATTATTGGATTAAAAAAAAGTTTATTTTTAGAAATAATTAAAAATATTTTGGGAAGGAAATTGAAAAGAGATATTGTAGAAGAGGAAATAGAAGAGGAGATAACCCTACTGCCCTTATTCTTATTTGTAGATAAAAGGTTTTTAAAGAAGGTCTAACATATTATTAGATGATTATCATGCAGTTTCTGCTTAAGTACAGCCCACCTCATGGTCTAATAACCAAAAGAAGCCAAGGCCGCATATGGTACGGCTGTAAGAAATAATCGTAGAGATAATATGTTGGATAGATCTGAGAGTACAAGCTTAGATAGAAAGATAGATAGATCTCTCGGTGGATAGATCCGAGAGAAGAAGAAAGTTTAAGTCTAATGAGAGTATTACTTATAGGAGATAGTGTTTAGTTTTCATAGGAGAAATAATAAAAGTCATTTGATTATTTCTAATTCTTCTAATATTTCTTCCATTTATAATCCTTCTAAAATATTGCTTTTACTCCTTTTACCATGAAAAAAGCGAAAAAAGATAAAAATCAAGACTTTTTAAAGTTAAAACTTTAAGCTTCTGTTTAATGTTTAAACTCATCTTATTTCTCCTCTTTTTTTTTTTAAGCAAAGTAATACAATTTCCATCTCCTAAGACTTTTCAAAGCCAAACCCCGCTTATTTACTCAAAAATATATTTAATTGTTTGGCTTTCTTCAAATCCTTTCAAGTGAAAAACTTGCGGTTGTATATCCTTCATCCTTCGCTGGAAAGTCAAGAATTATGGTCACGTACCGGGCCCCCAACTCCATGTCGGATTTGTCTTGACATATTCAATTCACTGAGCAAATGACCAACAAAATAATGGATGGGGAGGGGCGGGAACTAAATCAGAATCCAGGATATATTCGGGAGAAAATCGTTCGTTCACAATAAACGCGCCGTTAAATCAATCGAATTTGTAGCAATCACTGGCAGCCGTACTCCCGGCAGCAGTGGCCCACATTATGGGAATTGGGTTTGAAATCAAAACTCAATTTTGGACAGCCAGGCGGGGAAAGCTATCAAAAATCTGTCTAAATATCTTCATCTCACTTGCACACACACATGTCCTGGGTGTCCTGTCTGTATCCTCTCAGTGTGTGTAGATGGCGGGTGTCATTGAAATTATTTTGACATCAGTTGAGGGGAGGAACTACAACTATAGAGAGAGGACCTATTGGTTGGAGAGGGGGGTGGGAAATGTAGTTAAAGAGACATATAGTAGGGTTAGAGCTAGGGGCTATTGCCTGAGGGGGCGTGGCAGGAAAACAGGGCAACCTGCGGTTGTCAGTTTCGGGGTAAACCAAACAACAGCAGCAGAAATTCAACAACAGACAGACAGATGGGAGTCCTGTCCTTTGCCAAAAAGGATGTGAATTCTATTCTAAAGAGCACGGTGAGAAATAATGGGGTTACAATCTATAAATAATATTCTTAAATATATTTCTTTTAAATATTTAAAACCTCATTCCCAAAAACCAAATCTGATAAAGTACTTGAACTTGATGTGATTTCGATTACTTATACAAAAGTCACACCCTCCCCTCCTGAATATCTGTCAAGTCCTCGAAACTCGCAAAAAAAAAAAACAAACTTATCCCCCTGGCACATCAATCAATTATGAAACGATTTGTCCCCCCAATTGCTAAGTGGAAAGTTTCAATTGTTTTCCAGCTAATGTGAGGGTTCTATAAATAACCGACAGAAACCCACCAAAAAAAAAAAAAATAAAATATGTAAATCAGCGAAAGGAAATCTAAGGCCAAGTCACCTTGGAGTTGGGCCAAAATAACAAAATCACAAAATAAATAAAAGAATATATATATATATATATATATATATAACGATCGTCAGGAGTGATGGTGTAACAAGGACCATTATGCAAAAATTCCCATCGATTATCTCTGGTGAGCCGCTGTCAGGACACTCGGCTCATTATTCAATAATGAAGATATTTGGGTCTTTAAGCGCTTACACACTCGAATGGAATGAATGAATGGCTTGGCTTTGAGCTATTTTTGATGGCCACACCCCCCCATTGGATACCTTTCAATTAAAATTCCTGTGAATTGCCTTTTGCCAGTGTGGCCTGGTGTGGCTGTGTGTGTTTTGTATCCTTTGAGGTCGTTAAACTAATTTCATTGCCTACTTTTGTGCGCTAATGGGAGCTCTATATCGCTATTGCGCCCTATACCAATCACATTTCAAGGACGATTTACGATTTGATTTGCATTTACACACCTTTATCCGGAAAACGGATAAAGGATAATGGATAACGGATGGCGGAAAAGCCTCACGAAAATCTCCCTAATCTATTTGACACAATCGATAGCTCGTAATTAATATTACACATACGCCCCATGGGCCCATGGTTGCGGTAATAAAATTAACACTTGCACCCATAAATATTAAGTATTGAACTAATAAATAGGCACCGCACCGATATCCGGCTGTGGCTCAATTTTCCATTGTATTATATTTTGTGATTTATATGGCGGTTGACCCTTGACCCCTTGCTGCTGACAGTGATGCGCAGAAAAGTGCCAAACCCGCAAAAAAAAAAATATTTGTTGTTGTTGATTTCCATTTAGGGCGTGGCATGTGTCATTTAGGGGGCGGGGGGATTGGGGGATAGGGGGAGGGGCTTTATTGTTAATTGGATTTGTTGGCCAAGCGGAATGGACAAGTTTTTGTGGAACTTAATTGAGTCGGAAGCTGACGATATGAGCAATGGAGTTTCCTCTCCTTCCCTGTCTCTCTCTCTCTCTCTTTCTATTGTTTACCACATATCCTGGCAAGTCCTGTGCACTATAACCTTCACTATTCTCCATTTTATTTTTTTCTGATTTTTTTTTTTGGCTTGTTTGCAATCAATTAACGAATGCAAACTGGCACTCGATTGTTGAACATAAATCTCCTTTCGAAAATCAAGAATGCTGAGGGTGGCAACCCTTTGACCTTCCACTGGATTGACCTTCAGTCCGGGCCAGACCATAAACTATGGCCGCCTCGACCATTTCCGGTTGCCATTTTGCAGGAATTATAGATTGCAGATGCTGGAAGCGAATGCACGTCTACCTATGGCCATGAAACGCACTGTTGATTTTTATTAAAATTATTTGCAAATAAATTTCAAAACCTACCACCCAGCAGCTGGTCCTGATAGATGACACGTCCTTGTTGTTGTATTATTATTATTATTACATAATTTGTATGCCAGGATATTTGTTGGTGGCAGGGGAGGGAGTGGGGCGTTGGAGAGAAAGGTTGTGGGGCAACTACTATAATCATTTGCCACACGTGCCGCCAAAAAAAAGGATCTATGAGCCTAATTTTCGTTATAGTGTTGGCACAATCACATTTTCACAGGACTATTTTGGGAGTTGTGTTTTTGGAAATTAAATTAAAGTTTAGTTGAATAAATTATGTAAGTTTTTAAGTATTTTATTTATTATTTAAAAAATTGAAATTAAGAATATATTCAAGGCCATAAAACTAACTTAGGATTCTTAAAAGGTTTCTTCTAGCCTTTTCTTCATACTTTCTCCTTTTAATTTTTATTTATTTATTCCTTATTTATTTATTTTAATATTTTCTAAATCTTAAGAATCTTAAGAACTAGTTCCTTTTTTTGGGGAAAAATAATAAAATAAAAGCCCAACACTGATTTGATTTTGGAGACATGGGCTAGTAGCCGACAAAAAAAAAGAATATATATTGCGCGGCAGTTTATTTTATTTTATTGCAATTCGCAGTCTCATTTTTATGGCTCAGACATGGATTTCCTATGTGTGGGTGTATAAGGATATGTGTGTGTGTAAGTGTGGGTGTGTGTCAGTGTCAAATATAAAACAAATAATGCCAAACGCGACAACAGCCACAGCCATAGAAGCAGCAACAACCATATATTGGCGAGGCAATCACAGATAAGTCAACATTCCGCTGACGAGGTCATTGAGAAA